AAAAAAAAAGATATTTAATCATTAATTCTGTTTTTCAGCCATGTTGATAATACCAATTTATTGAGTATTTATTATTGTCTCACTGACTAAAATCAGTGAGACAATAATTATTTGTCTTTAGCTTAATTTCATGATGATGCTTTAAAGATGTATTAAACTCAGATAAAAAGAAGTCTGAATGTTGCTGTCAGTCTAGTTTTATAATTTGAAATCAGTTCTGTGTCAGTCGGTCAATTAATCTAAACTGGTGCAGTTTGTAGCCCTGATACCTTGAAGGAAAAAGGTCCTGGGTTCAATTCCTGGCCTAGGGTCTTTCTGCGCGTTTGCTTGTTCTCCCTGTGCTTTTGTGGGTTCTCTTTGGGTACTCCAGCTTTCTCACACAGTCCAACAACATGACTGTTAGGTTAACTGGAGTCTCTAATTTGCCCTTAGGTGTGAGTGTGTGTCTCTGTGTTGCCCTGTGATGGACTGGTGACCTTTCCAGGGTTTACCCTGCCTTTCATCCATAGTCCCACTGTAACCATAATGGAGTAAGAGAGAGAAGATGGATGGATGGATGGATGGATGGATGGATGGATGGATGGATGGATGGATGGATGGATGGATGGATGGAAAGTGAAGTCAATAGTGTCAAAGGCAGCAGTTAGAGACACATCAGAAATTCTGCTCTGATATCACAAATCTGTTATTCTCCTCGGATTCTAATTTCTGATGACTTAGAAATATTTTCATTTATGTAATTATTGCAAAGTGGAGATACAATACAGAATATTTGGAATTTGTCACAAAAGATCACAAAGTATTAGAAGATAAACAGTTACTGAACTTAAACAGTTTATATTCTGGAGCTTAGAAGATAACTTGGAATTTAGGTTTATTCTGTGAATCAACATTATGTGAAACAAGTCATGAAGTTTGCTTTAAATAGAATTGAATAGAATAGAAAATCCTTTTATTGTCCCACAATTGGTAAATTCTGGTTTTTACTGCAGCAAGAAGATTATATATATAAAAAAATGGTCCCACAATTGTACAAAAAATTTATAAGATAACGTAATAGTGAAGAGTTAAAAGATAAGCAATAAAATACTGTACTGTAAAGTGTTTTAACTAATATAAAAACTGTACACCTGGAGAATAAATAACAAATATACAGTTATGAATATTTTTACAGTAGATAATTGAAAATAGCAGCAACATCAGAGATGTGCAAATAAATACAAAATAAATAAAAACATAAAACATATATACAATAAAACAATAGTATAAGACTAGCAAAAACAATAAAAAGATTATAGCATTAAACTTGTATTAAAACCTGCCTGATACTACTGCTCAACTGGAACAAAAAGGCGATTTAAAATAATTGTATTGTTCACCTTTTCCCTGAGTCCTGGTTGTTTGTTGTCATGTGTTTACTGTATATATTGTGAAGCCTCTAAAAGTTGTGGTAAGAAAAACAACTGAGATAAAAAATAACACAACTTTAGTAGATTTGATTGGTGATTGGACTTTAATTCTGGGGAATAAACACCCTGACAAAATGATCAGTAATGAAAATCTAAGTCTAAAATGTTGAATCAATCAGCTAATATTGCTCCCACCTCTCCTAAACATGAAGGTAAAGAACTTTACATTAATCAAACGAAGGATAAGAATAAAATAGAAGAAACTATAATAGATCATGACTGGCTCTGACCATCTATGTCTCCCTCAGATAAACCTCAGCCTGTCCTCTCTGTGTCTCCATCAGATAAACCTCAGCCTGTCCTCTCTGTGTCTCCATCAGATAAACCTCAGCCTGTCCTCTCTGTGTCTCCATCATGGCTGAGTCCTGGAGCCTCAGTGACTCTGAGCTGTGGGGGGTTGGAGCATCCATCTGCAGGATGGAGGTTCTTCTGGTATAAAATGGTTCCAGCAAAATCCAGCAGCTCCTACAGCTTCGAGCTGCTGACTGGAGGAACCAACTGGACTGA